CGGCGCAGGTGGGAGGGAGGCTGCTGGCCGTGCCCAGGACCGCCGGGGTGCTCCGCTGCCCGGACTACCATCCTCTGCTCCCACGGAGTCTGCTCTCGCGAAGGGAGCTGGTGTCGGCCATTTACACTCCAGTCGGAAGCTTGCCCTGGCGTCTTTCCCTGGACCTCCGGAAATAGAAACCTTCTCTTGCCCCAAACCCATGCCACCCCTCTGGCTCCAGTCTGTCCCTCCCCATCTCTGCGGGGCCTCCCTCTCCGCTTGGTGGGGCCCAGCCTCCTCAGCGCCCTCATGAGCACCCTGAGCCGTGCACAGAGGCTCACCATAGCCTCATCGCGGTCAGAGCCATTAGTACATCTACCACTTAGGGCCCCAGGCCAGGTGCTGGGGACATGGCGACGCCCCAAGGCAGCCCATGCCTCTCAGAGCTCCTGTCTGACGGGACACAGACAGGTAACCAAGCGGCTATAACAGGGGGCACTCAGAGGCTTGATGGGGGGTGCGGAGGGTGCTGTGGGAGCCTGGAGCAAGCACCCAACCCACCTCCAGGGCCAGGCAGGGACAGATGGAAGGAGCTGGCAGAGGCCAAGAAGGGGCCTAATGCCAGGCACCCACCCCTCCGTGCCTGGGTGCCTAGGTTCTCACCGGCCATACCCATTCTGCACGCGGGGGCTCTTTCTGGGGGAGCCTCAAGGCTGGAGCCTTCCCAGCCTGTGGCCCCGCGTGGGCTGGGAGGTGGGGTGGTGGGTGTGCCCAGGGGGTCAGGTTTCCCACTGTCTCCTCGTGCCCAGAACCCAGGCCTGAGCTCCGGCACCCGCTCTCATATAACCTGAGGGCAAAAATAGAACGAGGCTCCCGCCCTGCCACAGAGCCTGGGCGGAGGGGACAGGGCCTGCCTCTGAAGATGCCAGGGCAGGGCCGGATCCCGGCTTCACTCGCCCCAACCCCAGCCCAGTGCCCCTTCCTTCTCCCAGGACTGGGTCACAGGATCTCAGAGTGGGCAGGGACAGAGAGCCAGAGGCCCCTGGGACACTCCAACCCTTCTCCACCAAACAGATGGAGAGACCGAGGCCCAGACAAGCCCCAGACCTGCCCAAGGTCACCCAGTATGAGCAGAGGGGTGGTCCCCTGCCCCGAGTGGGTGCCCTGGCCTCCCCCAAACCTCCCTTGGGTTTAGGCAGAGAGAGTGGGGTTGTGACTCAGACTCCGCTCAGAGAATAAGCAGGAAGGTGGCCTCCGCCCTCAGACAGGGTGAGTTAGCAGGGTCTCCGCCTGGAGCCTCCACCGCCCTCTGCTCAGACCCTCCCTGTCTCCTTTCAGCAGAGGGGAGGTAACCTTGAGCAAATCACAAACCTCCCTGGGCCTCAGTTCCATCATCTATAAAATGGGAGTGAAGGTGGTGGTTGCCATGACAACTCAAGGTCAACACCCAGCACGGGGCCTGTTACACGGCAGCTGCCAGCAAACAGGAACCCTTCCCCGACTTAGCCAACCCCCTGGCCCTCCAAAGCCCAGCTCAAGGCCTTGCCTGCTTTCTCCCCCCCTGGTCCCCACGGTCGGGTCTCCCGCTGGGGCCACAGCCTTATGCTGCATCTAGGACAGCACGGAGATTGGCTGCCCGGGTTCCGATCGCACCTCCAGCGCTCACTGGCCACATGGCCAGGGCAACCCCTCTCCCTGTCAAATGGGGACAAGACAGTGATTTCCTTGATCAGGGCAGTATGGGGAGATCCAGCGAGATAAAGAGACAAGAAACACTGGACACAGATCAAGGGCAGCTATTATGAAATATTAGCCTAAATCTGGGGCCTGGAACTCACTGAGTTGTTGGCTCTTTCTGGGTTTTCTCGGTTTCTGCCTCTTCCAAAGCCGCGAGGCTCAGTTGCTTCATCTGTAAAATGGGCTGTCAGCCACCTCCCTCTCAGGGCCACCCGGACCACACACCCACCGCGACCCCCGCCTCCTCAGACAGTGACCCGGGCACTCACTCTGCTGGATGGACTTGAGGCCACGGAGGCAGGTGGCAGCCAGCAGGAAGCCACAGCCCGCGGGTGG